ACAGGTGCAACGGCATACGATGGGTCGATCCACCAGGCTAGTAACTCTGCAGTTCCGTTACCTGTTCCTGATCATCGATTAAATGGCAGATTTCGAAACTCGATCCGGAGTAATACCATTATCAACTTACGTCAGGGAGCTGTGCCGGAGTGCGGTTTTGAGCACCGATATTCACCCGGCGTCATGTAATCCCATTGATCAAGAAATTTTCCAGCAATCTCGACACGTACACCCGCGTGTAACGTCGGCTCACTTCGCAAAGTCAGCGAAGCTGAAATTCTAATTTCAGATTCACGTATATTTCAGTCCCTCGCTCCGATTCGCATATCGAGTGTAAAATAATCCCCCTCGTTCGTGCATTCGAATAACAATTCGAGTTCTCCTCGACTGTCGCAATTATATGAGGCGCATCGGAAATTGCGTAATCGCGACTAATAATAGAAGGAGCGCGAGTAGATTTCGGTAGAAATGAATAAAAAGTAGTTTACAGGACGTGCGCTCGATGACTCTGTCTGAAGTTCTTGTCTACATGATACATATAAACGAAGCTTTCGATCGAACTTTGGACAGTTCGGCGCATTACGTAATCCACTGCAAACACGTTTATTGTACACCGCCGCAGTTTCAGACATATCCCATCTCAGGTTAAGTGACAGATTTTGAAACTTGCTCGAATAATTCCATTACCAACTTGTCGATGAACCGCAAAGCTTTGGCGTTCTATTCCACCCCGCGGCCACCCGCGGCGCATGTAATTCACCGACCAAATAACTCCTCTCTTTAATATACCTTTCAAGCCAGTGGTCCGACGTTTGGTACGTGTAAAGAATTAAACGTGAAAAATTGATTTTCCGTGGGAGGGTGGGATAAAAGTTTGCACGCTGTTGCAAAAATAACCGTTTTTGTTCGATAAAATACGCTTAAGAATTTCTAGCAATTACGAAACGATATTAATATGTAGTAATGTAAATTTCCAATTAACGTTTAATGTCGAACCGTCGCTCTCGCAATACTGTGTATTAATATTGCGCAATACTGTATGTTAATATTGTTCCATATAATTGTTGCGTACAGAAATTCTTAAACGTACTTTATTAAACAGAAATATTTTTTGTAATTTTACAATTTAATTTCTCCGGGCTCGTCGCATTGCGAAAGCGGATCGGGGGAAATGCTCATTGTCAGTCTTCAAACACACTCTCGGAATATTAATTCCCCGGCTTCCATTCCGTCTATTTATCTCGAATGGAATACATTGGGATACGCTTCTCATTCGGAGACAGTGAAGACGTCAAACGAGCGACGAGATTTCCGCGAAGCTTCCTCGACAATTCAAAGCCGAGGAATCGCCGTGACGAAAACAGCCAAGCTTAGACGGCGAGACTGTCGGGACTTCATCCATCCATTGTTACGTGTGTTATATCCGCGTGCGTTCTGTATGAGTTAATGCACACCATAAATTATTTATAGCAAGGAAATATAGAGAACATCCATAAAATATTTCGCTTGAAAAATTACTCTTGCAATTTTGCGATCCCGACGGACTTCGCGATGAACATTTAATTCGATCGGAATTTCACATCGGGCAGATAATAACTTTCATAAATATTAATGCGGTGCGCCTCATGCATTTTTAATAACGTAATCGGCCATTCCGGCGACGTAAGCGCTTTGATGTGTGTATCGATATGATATCATCGGGGGG